GACCGGGGTGGGGAGGGGCGGCGCCGCGGCGGGGCACGGCCGGGCCGACGGCGCGCCGGCGCGGGGTTCGCGGGGTGGGTCGGGGACGGGGCGGCGCGGGGCGGTCGGGGCCGGGGTGGAGCGGGGCGGGCGCGGGCCGAGCTGGCGGCGGCGAACGGCGGCAGGCGCGGGGGTGTGCGTGCGTGAGTGTGTTGTGTGGAGTGAGTGAGTGTGTGGGTGGGCCCACACATTTAGTTAGGGTTTCCCCCTTTGCCGAGTGCTGGGCCGGCCGTCACTCGGCAAAGGCTTTTGTTTTTTTTAAAATTCTATGCCGAATGCCAGGGCCGGCACTCGGCAAATTTTTTTTTGTTTTTTTTGCCCCATTATTTTTTTGCAGCCTTAATATATTATTTAAAACTCCATGTTCAAATTTGGCATAATTTTGACTTTTTTTGCTATATTTCGTTAGTTTTTTTTGTTTCGTTGAATTTTATGAAATATTTCAAATTTGAACTGCAGGTGAATGGAATAATCGAGTTTGGTGGTTCAAAAAATGATATTCATGATATTTGGTGTATATTGAGGCTGTATCCAGGAACTCACATGAAATTTCGAGCATCTTGTTGACGTAACATGACGAGGTACCTATGGGAAAAGTGTATTTAAATTATATAAAATCCGAACGAAGTCCGAAAATGACGAAACTTGTCGGGGTGTCGTGTTATCGCATGTAAAGTCTATGGTAAAAAATTGAGAAGGTTTCGAGCAAGTTGCGACGTCGAATGCCTAAAACCCAAACATCTCCACGTGTGCACTTACCTACTTACCTTAGGAAGTGTGTCGGTGTAGATAAAATGGAGCAAAGCCTCGAACACCCTCGGTTCCATGTTGTCGATGCGCAGCACTTGAATGACACCAGCGTTCACGTTCCCAGCTGGGCCAGAGAACTCGGCCATGAAGGCCGTGCACCGAGTGGCCAACACGCACTTGTGTGCTGGGAACAGATGGCCGCCGACCTCGAACGTCACGTCGCCTCTGACTCTGACGTGCTGGCTTCCTTGCAGATCGCTGCCAATGCCCCGGCGCAGGTTTGACGTCACTGTGATCCCGTTTACAACTGCAATATCACAGCTGATCTGGATGCCGTCCTGGAGAAGAGGCGAGGACTCGTGCTCCATCATACTAAGGAAATTACAGCCGTATTCATAAGTTGTTTCTGAGAAGGTACTGAAATCTTGGATAGACGAAATTATCTGCCCAGCATGGGTGAGCAGGGTCACCTCGAATCGAGGCTTCACTTCATCGTTATCACCAGGGTCATCGAGGATGAGATTGGCAGTAACTCCATTGAAGTCTTCACCCCTCGGGTAGAAGTCTAAGTACCAGCTGTGCCCTCCGACACGGAAGTTGCTGGACTCGATGGCCTCACCGATGCCAAATGCTCTCCGGGTTTTGGAGTAGCCGTCGTCAACCCTCAGCACGTGCGACCCGGCAGCCAGGTCCGGCGGTGGCACAGCAGGAAACTTCTCGATGAACACAACACATCTGACATGGAAACAGTCGTCCTTCAGGAGCGACTCCAGCTTCGCCCTTTTGATAATGTCAGTGCCCGATAACGAATGTCTGTCATCGTCTGCGAAGTTGACCAATTTGCCTGGGTGTCCAGTTAGTTTGTTGAAACAACCGTCCTTGAGCGACTCCATCAGAGTGAACTTGCATTTTGCCGAGACTCTGCTGCCAGGGTGATCCTCCTGTCTGCACAGGTTGAGGTATACCCCACCGGTGCTCCCCTCATGGACACCACAAGGATAACACTCGATGTACCAGGCATGCCCTCCAACGCGGAATGTACTGGACTTGACGCTCTTTCCGACCCCGAGATCCTTGGTTGCCGAGAAGCCGTCGATCATGATAGTACGGGCTTGTGTTCTAGCGAATGGCCGGCGATGGCGGTAGAGGATGCGATGAGGTGCGCGGGTTGTGGCAGATGTGGAGATGGCAGAGGAAAAGGCCGGGTTTTTATGGGTCGTGAGGTTGTTATTTCCACCGGAGGCGAGGAGACGCATTTGACTGGCGGCGGCGGCGGCGGCGTCCGCGGCACGTGAAGATTTAATTCCATGCATGACGTGTTGGGAACAGAAACTTGCTATAAATACGGTGCTTCGGAAAAGAGGCGCTGCTGCAGGTTGCTTGGAAGACGAGGGGATTTTATTTATTCTCCCAAAGAAAAGATGATTTTCAAGTGACGCGATAATTCTGAATCAAGCTTTTGCGAGGCTTCTATACATAAATATATTTTATATATCTTTGATTATTCCGATTACCATGTCCACCATTTTGATGAAATCATTACCCCCACGAGCTAGTGTTTCCAAAACCAGTAAAACAATCAGCCCATGATAAACACAAAATATATAGGATCAACTTCAAACAAATTCAATTGTTTCTAAAAATATTCAGCATCATATTTTCACTAAAACTCTATATTCTTCCAAAATTTAGGGCTGGGGTGAGGTGTCAAGATCAAGTATATCTTCTTCAGATACTATATCCAACTAGTATATTGCCCGTGCTAATGCTTCGGTAGTGTCAAGAAAAAATCACAAAACTAAAATGAATCACAAAAACTAAGGGTGTGTTTGGTTTCTCCTCCTAAACTTTAGTCGTTGTCCCATCGGATATTTGGACACATGCATAGAGTATTAAATATAGACTAATTATGAAACTAATTGCACAGTTTGCGAGACGAATCTTTTAATTCTAATTAGTCCATATTTTGACAATGTAGTGCTACAGTAAATATGTGCTAATGACAGCTTAATTAGGCTTAATAAATTAAGTCTCAGAGTAATTGACGGATTCTGTAATTTGTTTTTTATTAGTATCCGAATACCCCATGACACCCTCACGTGACACCTCCTAAATTTTAGTCACCGGTTCAAACACCCCTAAAAATGAATCAAACCTGCCACCAAAAAAAGTTTTTGTTTTCTTCTTTGAGAAGGCAAAAGAACCAACAACTTTCAGATGGCCTTTGCCAATCCCAATATAGCTTCTTCTTTCAGCATCCCATAACCTCACTTGTGTACCAATAGGTAAAGAAAAGAGTCACGTCCACAATACAACATACTAACTAAATTAACTGCAAACATTTTAAATAGAATAATAGGGAAAAGGGAATATTGTGTGGAATACCCAAATTGAAATATTAACAAATAAAATTTTGAAAAATTGATTTCCTTTGGTATATGGTCACAGTAACAAGCACTTAGAACTGAGGGAGCGTATCTGGTGCATGTTGTTTCAAGTTTCTTTTCAACTATATTGATGAATTTATACTTATTTTATTTTATTAAACAAATTCCTACCTTTTATAATAAACAGGTTATCTTTTAAAATAAATTTAGTAAATACAAAATACCATTCCAAAGCATAGAAGCTAATTCATTGACTCTCAAGAATGGAAATGGTCTTCTTAAAATTACTCTAGTGTACAAAATTGATATTTCTAGCCATCAGAATATATTATTCAATGACGCGGTATGATTTGAATAAAAAGGAAATCCAAGTGTTTTTTCTACACAAATGTAAGCAATCAACACACCAGAATTAAATGACCGAATGTATATTTGGAATTCCGTCTGAGGTCCCTTACATATAGCATTTATTCTTGGAATTCTCCATTCTCCACCTACAAAAGATGTACACAACCGCCAGGCATACAATTTTCAGTCAAGAATTGCAAATGCTGCTAACATCGCTCTCCAAGAAACGGAATGATACATACAATACAACCGGAGGCTTGCGGATTAATGTGGGATAATTATTGTTGCTGGCATTGCAAGTACCCAAGTACAGTGATGGATGGAGGTGTGAGAATTAGTGTACCTTGGAACCACTTGCCGATGGAGTTGCCAGACACATAGATGAGGTCGTCCTCCTTGAAGAGGTCAGTGAAGTCGATCGGCTGGCCAGGTTCGAAGCCGTCGACGGTGGCGAGCCTGAAACCCAAACCTGTCTCAGTCAATTATTTCTGCTATGTATCTATGTTGGTGATGTGAGGAAAGTCCAGACACTACATGAAAATTCCAGCTATCAATTCAATATTTAATAATTTAAGCCCGACACTACTCACTGAAAATCGATTGCTGGTGAAACACTTATTAACAGCTTAACAACTAAATGTGTCAAAGTTATTGTTTTTTTAGGACTGAGTAGCAGCATGGAGTCCAAAACCAGGATAATAAGTTTCTTCTGAAAAAAGTGATGAGAATAAAATCACTATCAAACACCAATTAATGATTCAATTTTATGAAGTGAACTTACAGTTTTTCTAGAACTTCTTGAAGAGATCAACACAATATTGTACGTGTGCTTTTCAAGGCACACACATAGAGGTATCCCGCTGCGCCCCGCTAGTGATCCGGCACTCCTCTAGTGATCCCGTTTATTGTTTTAGCTCTCCTACAACTCCGTGAGGCTCATCGGCTCCATTCTTTTACCTCTAATGAACAGGTCACGCTGGAACGGGCGACCTCGCCACCAGTTCGCCACTGCACGCACGCCATCATCGCCAGCCATCTCACTCCTCCTCCCCGGTTCAACCAAGCTGCGATCGATCGACATCGCAGTGAGCTGCTAATGCTGCCTGAGCCCTTCGACTAACCTCTACCATGTTGTATCGGCGGAGCACCACTGCGCTGCCGCTCTATGTCCGCCAAGACTACCATGGTTGTGGTCGAAGCTTCGAGTCCGACTTCGAACTCATTCCTCTCTGTAGTGTACTCGATCGAGGCATGCTCCGGACCGTTCTTCACCATCTCGAGCTGCAGGGGATCGCCGACATGCTTAGCTCTCCTCCCTGGTCCCCAGTGTGCTTTGCTATTCGACCTCCTCTTCTTTGGCGTGTGCTTCTTTTGGAGACTATGGAGGATCGAGGCCACTAGATGTATCTTCAGAACCATACATGTAATTAGTACTTGGAAGGACCGAAACATTTCCTAGCTGTTGCAGAGGCGGACATGAGGAATGGACATAAGTCATGTATGTTGTGCCCATGTGTTGACTGTAAGAATGAGAAGCGGTACTCGAATCAGTTGTCAGTCCATGCCCACCTAATTCTTCGAGGATTCATGGATGACTATAGATGTTGGAACAAACATGGAGAAGAAGGTGTCAATGAGCGAGATGGTGAGGAAGGACTTCATGAAACTTGTGCCGGTGGCAATGAGGAAGCACCCTTTGGCAATGAGGAACTATATGATGATGATGTAGCAGAGATTGCTGCTAGCCCTGTCCCTACGGTTGAGAATCTAGATGCGTGATGCCTTTGGCTTTGATGGGTACACTGGTTCGGAGTTCAAGAAGCTGAAGCAACTGTTGGAAGATATGAAGACACCACTCTATCCGAGTTGCAATGAGAGGTATACGAAGTTGTCCGCTTCACTAAAGCTTCTCCAACTGAAGGTGGCACATCACTAGACTGACAAGGGCTTCAGAGAATTGCTAGAAGTGCTCGGAGATATGTTTCTTGAGGGGAATCAAATACCAGGACTACATATGAGCCTAAGAAGATTGTTTGTCCGATGGGATTGAAGTTCGAGAAAATTCATGCTTACAAGAAAGACTGCATCTTGTTCCATGGTGACAATGCAACCCTCATTGAATGCCCCAAGTGTGGGACCTCTCATTACAAGCGAAGAACTGACGAGGGTGATGATGGCGAGGAGACACGCCGTAGAGTTACTAGGAAGGTTGCTTGGTACTTCCCTATAATTCCTCTCCTGAAATGTTTGTTTGCAACCTCCAAGGATGCACGACTGTTGAGCTAGCACTTGGATGGGCGGACGGTTGATGATTACATACGGCACCCAGCAGATGGTATTCAGTGGCGGGTCATTGATTTGAAGAATCAAACTTTTGGCCGATGAGCCAAGGAATCTTTGGTTTGCACTCAGCACGACTGTAATGGCATGAACCCATTTGGTAACATGAGTAGCTCACATAGTGTCTGCCCTGTGCTATTAACTATCTACAACCTTCCCCCATGGCTGTGTAACAAGAGGAGGTACATGATGATGTCAGTTCTGATATCTGGTCCATGTCAACCAGGTGTTAACATTGACGTGTATCTGAGGCCGCTTATTGATGATTTCAAGGAACTCTGGAAGGAAGAGGGTATCGTCGGGGTGTATGATGGGTTCGAGAAAGAACATTTCAACCTACGTGCCATGCTCTTCACCACTATCAATCGATATTCCGTGACATCATAGCATGTCTAGGCGAGAGCAAAGGAGAAAAAAGACCGCTTTCATTGCTTAGATGACACGAAGACTGCTTTGGCTGAATAAGTCAAAGAAGAGGGTCTATGTAAGGCATCGACGTTTCCTTCTTAAGTCTCATCCATACCGGGAGATGAAACGTCGGGTTTGATGGCACTAGGAGATAGGATCTACACCAAGGCATTTCAGCAAGCAAATGGTATATGACTAGGTGGTAGAGGATACCACACCTAAAGTTGACACCGGAAAGCAATCGTCCTCGAAAGCAAAAGCGCAGGTGAAAAGCAAAGACTGCTTGATAAGAAGAGGTGGAAGAAAATGTCAATCTTATGGGAACCGCCTTACTTGAAAGACATAGCGGTGCGCCTCGGCATCGATCTCATGCACTTGCTCGTAACACTCGCAAAAATAATGTTCATAATATTTTGTTCCTTTCAACATTCAATTTCCGTATGACACACCCGTCGTTAGGGTGCTACGCACCATCTTCTTTAAGACCCAATCACCACCGCCTGGTAGCCTTCGCCGCCGACATCATGAAAATTTGCAAGCCCGGTAGCGAGACTCCCGTGCGTTTTTTTAGAATTTTTAAGCGCATTTGTAGTTAGCTTACAAAGATAAGTTACCCACCGGCCGCCACCCCGTCCGTCTCTCCTCCTCAAGTGCTGCTAATCCTCTCCTACTCATCGGCGTCTAAGCCGCCACTCACCACCGACAACCTAGTGCTCGCGCTAGTATGTTCTCAACGGCACGCCCGCACAGATCCACCGGTGACCATGCTTGTACTGCCACCGCCGTGGCTGTTCGAGCTCAACGCCAAGAAGATCCAAAAAGCAAGGTAATGCCTTCGCACTTCCCTTATCCATGTTTCTTGGCTTTTTATTCCCCTCTTATCTCATCTAAGTATGAATCAAGCTTCCATCTGATCATTAAGGAGCTCACGAGCACATTCCGCAGGGTGCCCCTACTCGATTCATGCTACAACGCTGTCACTTCCATCGCCAGCCCCGCCCACCACATCCTAGTCAAGATGGAGGAGGAGGCCACCAATAAGAGGAACGAAATAGACATCCTAATAGACGATATCTTGGTCCTTATCCTCCGCCGCCTCACCACCCGCACCTTGTGCAGCTGCAAGTGTGTGTGTCGCCCCACGGTACCGCCTCATCTCCGAATCCTAGCAATCAGAGGGAGCTGCCTAGTTTGTCGACTGACGGATTCATGTATGGCAATCGAAAGGCAAACACCGATTCACCAGACTTCACCGTGAATACCCCCTCCTTTTCCAGCTTGCTCTTCCCCATTCAGGATTTAATCATCTCGGTTTGTTGCAGAGGCCTCTTCCTCTGCTGGTGCGTTATGGCTTCGCTGTAGTACTGTAGTCTCAACACTCAAGACCAAGAGTTCAAAGAGGTGCGGGAAAAATGAACTAGAACTACGAAGAACTCCATTACTATAATAATAACAAAATAAATTTAAACAATCCAATGTCTGGAATAGTAAAGGCCGACATTAGAAGCAATGCAAAATTACGAAACTGTTTAAATCTCTATTAATGCCTGTGCGTCATCAATCGCTGTAAAACTTGCTTGTTGTTCCTTCATTTGCCCTCTGTGTTCAGCGCTTTCGTGGATTACCAGCGCAGCTCAGCGTCCTCCATCCGCCGCACACGGTATGTTCCAGCGCATCCACACGCTCAGCCAGCGCGCCGATCACCGTACACTGCTTCAAGGCTTGCGTTTGCTCAAAGCGCCGCCGCCATCTCTCATCACCTTCCCTCGCGTCCACGCCATAGTGGAGGCAGCGCCAGCGCTT